ACCAGACTGAGTATAAAATGCTGCTGCTGGGTTCCTATTAGTTGGATTTCTGTGTAGTATCTTAGGAGTGTGAACTAGTCAGCTGTCAGCAGTATTTAGAAGACAGTTAACGGGAAGTTGTGACAACTACCAGAAATGGGCTAGATAAACCATGCTAACAATTATCTAGCTGTGTTTATAAAGCAAAACCTAAAAAGTACGATTTGATTTGAGCAAGGACAGGCTTGCTTTAGGAACCTGACATATGCTGAAGCAAGTGGGTCACAGAACAGGTCACTTCTTCTGAACGCCAGTGAAAACATGACTTCAAGCCTACTGTCCCAGAATCTGTAATTAGCACTAAGATCTTCCTGAAGACAGCCCTGCTGCAGTGTCACTAGGAGACAGCCCAGCCCTCTCTTAACTCTTAATTACAGGAGCTGGCAGTTCAGCTAGATTAAAAAAGATGATTGAAGCCGATGTGACAACTCACTGTTGTGCCCAATAGCTTACGGAGCCTCTTGCCACTGACTTGTTCACTTGGCTGTGTCCTTATTTCAAGAAAAAAAATGTACAATTTTTTTTTTGCCAAACATTGCACTTGCAAGCAATAGAGAGTTTGTGAAATATTGCTAGAACAACTTGTACCACGCCATCTGCTGCATGTGGAGAGCTGAGAAACCACAGATCTGCTTTTTAAGATAGTTCTGATCACTGTGTTTGTCAGTAACTTCATTTCAGCCTTACCTTCAGCCATACCTCCTGTGTATGTGAAAAGTACCTGAGGAAACATATGACGTATGTCAAGAATCCAAACAGATCCATGCTCTGTATTATACCATCCCTTCTGAGTTGGCAGAGTCCCTTCTCTTGTGAAGTACAGGATGCAAGAATCCCAACTTGAGGGATGAGAATGAGCGTGCAACTGAAGCTGCAGGAGTAATTCAGCTATCATGGAGAATGATGCAGCAGAGAACGAGAATCCTGCAATTTCATATTCAGCAGGAGACTCAGCTGAACTATTCTTTATTCCCCAAATAATTAGTTAAGAGTTATTTATACCTTATGGTCCCACAAGATTTCTGATTTACAGTACAAAGAGTCAGGCACTGAATACAGTGATTATATTCCATCTGCGTAGGGCATTTACTGACAGGAAAGTCTGCGGGCAAGGAGCTCTGGCCCAAACTCACTGCTTTTCACTGGGACGAAAAAATAAAGAACACTTTAGGAGGCCCACAAAGTACAGTTGTTAAACTGAGCCTATTTTCTCTCCCTCTTTCCATTTTCCTGTATCCAACCCTTCAGTTTCACTGGATTTCAAAGGGACAGTTATTTGTGCTTCTTCCTATTTTAGGATGTTTTTATCATGTGGCGTAGCGCTCCGACTGCCTTAGGGGAGCTTTAATGATAATTTTATTTTTAAAAGTATAGGCTTATCTTGCTTGACCTTGATGCACTGAGTAAAAGGTTGCTAAACCCCTCCTCTAGAAAACAAAACGAGGAACAAATGTCCTGCGCCTGCTGGATCAAAAGCTCAAGTGTGGCAGTGCCTTTTGCTACCCCAAAATATATCACCAAGGCAACGGCAGCAGTTCTGCAAGCAGGTATAGCAAAGGCCTCCCAGCCAGGATTTAAATAATCTGATTTTCCTGCAGTATGTTTTCTTCAACACTCAGCAAGTCTTCTGGGAGATGAAAAGCATGCTAACACCATTCCAAAGGGTATCCTGCTACAGGAGGCGGTTATCGCTGCTCTTTGAGAAGAAAACACGAGCATGTCACTGTTCAAAGGCCATACAAGGAGCTAAGCAGAGCCAACACCAGTTGGAAGCCAGTGGTTGTCAGTGGCTGCACCCTTTCTCTCAAGCAGACTACCTAAAGGACAAGAGGGAGCCTACCTTATTCTCCACCCTGCTCTTTCTCTGGAAGGAAAACAACCTGTGACAGCACCAAGAAGAACTTTCCTTGCCTGGCTGTACCAAACTGAAAAAAAAAACTGATCTTAAGCTGGTGTCTGCTACAGCTTCTTCCCCTTGAGGGACTGTCCCTGTGGGACCAGTTAACCCTGCAGCTGCATACAAAGGAATACAAGTGTTTCAGTTTGCGCTCCTTCAGTACATCACTACTGAACAACATGCTTGGTGGTCCACTGCTTGCTTTTATAAGTCACAGATCATGTGCTAGGAATGCTAGCACGAGCTACTTTGAAGGCTTAACTGCAAAATTCACAGTTCATCTTCTACATCTTGGAGAGCCCTGCTCCACTGACAACAAACCACACAAGTGTATCAGCTTGCTTAGGTCTTTTCTGCTCAGCTGCCATTCGATGGTGAGCTGAAGCCCTAAGGAGCTGAGAAGTCTGTTCTCATGGCAGAATAGCAGGCTGCTACAATGCAGCTTTCTGTACTCTTCCAGTAAAGCACTTTCAAACCCTTTGTTTCTTCCAAAAATAGGTACAGACATTACTTCTGGGTATCTGTGCATAACTGTAGCTCAAAACTCTGTAATATAGCAAACAAGTCTGGGACAAACCTGCTCAGCTCCATCTCCATCTTTCATAGACAAATGCACTTCAAGTTAGTTGTTTAGAAACATGTCTTGGGTTCAGGTGGCCTAGCATAAGAGACTGTACACTCAAGTACAGCCACCAGCAACTACAGCGTTCAGCACAGTGTTCAAAGAAAGCTTGCAGGAAGCCAGGTGAAGTAAAACAGGAGAAGAAGGTCAGTGAGTGAAAGCTAAGAATAGATCTTATGGAAAAAAATCTCAGGGGTCACAAAAAAAAAAAAAAGAAGAAATTGCTGAGAAAGGAAGTTGGTTCCAGAGCCAGGAAAGTGATGGATTTGGGTTACTGCCCAAGACAGGTGTTTAAATGTGTACCCAATTTTAACTAGCTCTTGCTACAAATTATTGCTGATGAGTTTTTCACTCGCACTGAGTGAAACAGACATGGATGTATGGAGCTGAGGAGTTCACCAGTACAGGATGGGAGGCTGAAGGTTGCCCTGAATCTCTCCAAAGCAGGATAGGAAAAAAAAAAAACCCACAAACTTTTACCTAACCTAAAAGATTACAAATCTGTATTTTGTTTTCAACAGCCACATATCCCTGTAGCATCTGCAAGAAAGGTAACTGAAGGAACAAAAGCCTAAGTAAAATGGAATTCGTTACCTTTCTGCTGGAGCAGTAACTGCACTTCCCCAAACATCTCTCCTACTTCTCCTACTACAAACACCTTGTGAGAACAAGCACCAGGCAGTCATCATGGTACCAAAGCACTGCAAGTCAGATTGGCATGTGCAGGACTCTTGCCTGCTATGTCATGCTTGGCAACCTATACAGCAATTCTACTCTGTCTCTGAAGTTGTAGGTGTCAGCATGCTGAAAGAACCAGGGTAGGTGCACAGGAGAGATCTGAATTTACAGTGTTATTGTATTTTACAGTAATGTTTTCCCCAAAGCGCCTTCTGAAGTGCAAAAATACAAGAGTATAAAACATCAAATCAACAATACTGTACTTGAAAGAGGCAGTGAAATAGTAATCCTTAGCAGTAACCGTAGTAATAGTGGGTCAAGCATTTCAGCGAGCATGGAGCTGTTATGGTTTTCTAGTTCATGCTGCTCCCTGATCTCAAAAGCTGTGATAACACTGAGAATTTAAGCAGCAGATTTAGTGCTGCACTCTTGTTTTGATTGATGCTTCCATGTCAGCAGTCACAGCAGATGATATTTACATTTAGACTGCTGCTTGTGCGTTCCTTAATCTTTTTGCCTCTGCTCATTCTATTGAGCAAAATGAAATATATATTGACAGAAACTGCCTTGTTCCATAGACACCGATGTCTCCCTATAACAAGGCAAACCATGATGCTCTCGAGAGCAGATTCAGTTCCTCAGGTTACAGACGCATGCACACACCTATAGCCTCAGTACTCGTGTTGAGGCAGTCCATTTACGGCATCTCCTAAAAGTCTGTGTCTTTTATTAAGAAGCTGTCAAACCAAGATAACAGATAGAATATCACAGTTATAAAAGATTGGGATTTGGAGCTGCGGGAGAGATTACAGAGATGAATCGTGCTGCATCGAGCGTTTCTGCTTACAGCGATAAGACAGAAAGGGATAAGCACAAACTTCAGCTGCAAACCGGCCGGATGGCAGCCGCAGCATCCCAGGCAACAGAAAAAAAACCCTGCTATACGGACCTTGACAAAGCAAGAGTTACCGATCTGGACGGGCGCGCCGCGAGTCCCTCGATAAAGCGTAAGCCCCAGTTCAGCTCGCAAGCACATGGAGCGGCCGTCCTCGTAAACAAACCCGGCGCCGAGCCGTGCCGTGCCCCCGGGCCGGGTCAGCCCCCCGGGCCGCATCCCCGGTCACCCCCGGGACGTGGCAGCGCTGCCCGGCCCGGCCCGGCGCCATCCCCGCCCGGCCGAGGCGCCGCTCCTCCCCGCCCCCCGGCCCAGCCGGCCACAACAAAAGCGGAGCGCTGCCGGCGCTCTCGCCCCTTCCCCGCGCGGCCCCGCCGGCCCCTCACCGTGCTGCGCGAAGACGTTGAAGCCGCCCTCGGCCGCGCGCCCCGCCGCCTCCCTGCGGCGCCCCGCCGGCCTGCCCGCGCCGCTCCCTCGCGGTCCCCTCGGCTGCTGCTGCTGCTGGGGCGGCGGCTGCTGCTGGAGCCCGGCGCCCGGCTCCCCGACGCGGCCCACCTGCTGCCCCATCGCCGCGCTGCCGGCCGCGGCCCGCCGCTCACATGCCGCCGCTCCCCGGCCCGGCGGGCGGCCTCCCGCTCCTCCCCCGCGTGCGCGCCCCGGCGGCTCCCGCCCGCCCCCGCCGGCCCCGCGGCGCTCCGGCCTGGCGCTCACGGACTCTCCCCCTCGGCCCTCGCCGCCATCTTAAACCACAGAGCGCCGGGAGAGGGGACGGAGCGGCTCCCGCGGTCCTCCGGGGGAGGCCGCCCCCTCCCAGGCTGGCGGGCGGCGCCGCCGGCGGGTGGGGGGTCGCGGCCGCGTCGGGCCGGGTCGCGTCCTCCTGAGGTCGCTGAGGCGTCCGCGGTGCCCGCGTTAAGGCGCCCCGTTCCCGCCTGGGGGCGAGAGCTGCGGGTTGTGACCCAGGGGTGAGTCGGTTCGGGCGTCAGGAACTAATAGGTTCTTCACGGAAGGCCGGTTCTTCACGGACGCCGGGACGGGCTCGGCGCTCGGCCGCGCGGTGCGATTTTGGGGTGGTCCTGCATGGAGGTAGCGGTCTGAACGCGCGAGCGCTGTGGGTCCTTTTAGCTTGGGCTATTCGGTTATTCCGTGCCCCTGAGCGCTGCACAGGATGACCTTTGCGGGCTCCTCCCAGCTCAAACAGTTCTATGATTCTACATAAAGCTGGGACTGCTTTCCCACCTGGTGCAGGTCAGAGCACGGTGGGGACGCGCAGGATCTGGAAGCTGAACCCAGCCCTCTGCAGGCCCATTCTCTCATTCTGCGTGCACCGTTTCCCCCCTGTGCTCTGTGTACGCTTCCCACGCCGTGTGCACCTCTCCCAATGCTCACAAGGCCCCAGGTGAACTCCCAGGGCCCTGGCACACAACCTGCCCTCTTTGTCCCCTCCTGACCCAGGGCATGGAGGAGCAGGGAGGCACAGCCACACAAGTAACACAGGGCGTGTTGCTGCACAGGCACGGCTGGCAGCAGCATCTCGTCATCAGGTGGCTGAGCATGCACTGTAACTAATTGGTGTGCAACCAAACCGTCTTCTTTCAGCCTCTCTAATCCTGCAGAAGGCTCTCCAACTAAAGAAAAGGGAGGAGATTTCATCCTGAGAGATAGCAATGCTTGCTGCAGTTTAGAAGACCTGAGTTCTTGAAGGTGTTTTGCTCTCCAAGCTGGCTACAATTTTAGCAATAAAGGCCCTGTTCCATAGCAGTGTTTGTTTCTTCACGGATAATATGCAGGGCTGTCAGACTCAGGTGCCCTCACCACATCACTGAGAACAATGATAAACTCTCTTGTTGATACAGAGCCAGCCAGGCCCCAGGGACCCACAGCAACCTGTGCTACATCAGCCCTCACGTGGCTGTCTAGACTGGGATCCTGAGGAGAAACTCGTCCATGGCAGTCAGCTTGCCTGTCTGAAATGTCTAGTGACACTTCTGAGGCCATATTCTACCTGCCCTGCATCACAAGGTGTGACCGAAATGCTATCCATACTGTCACATGCACCTGAACTGCACCCAGTCCTAGGGCACCAGCTCTGACACAGACTAGAGTGAATAGGAGCGAGGAGTATGAGCAATCAGAAGTGCCTTAATAAACGCATTAATAAGCTAGGAACACTGGGGAGATCAGGAAATAGAGGCAGGCTTGCTAATAACAAAGCAGTTCATAAAACAGCATTGGGACTATCTGGGCTACACACCGCCAAGTCCCAGGACCCAGTGCAGACATGGCTATGAGGTATGAGCAGAGGGTGTGTGTGCAGGATGGGCAGTCCTGTGCAGAGCTGATCAACATGGGCAGTCTCTGCAGTGGAGATATTTCCTGGTATCCTTCCAGCCAGAATTTGCAGGGTTTGGCATTTGTAAATGGCTTGCCTCGTAAACAAAATGTATGTTTTCTGAAGACTGCGGAGAGACAACAAACATAAAACTCCTCTGTGCCATTTGCAGTTGCCTTGTAGGATAGAAGAACTCTTTCATATCAACAGGAATGGTACTTTTATTTCCTAATGCCTCTTTACTCACTGATCCTGAAGAGCTAACCAGAAGAAAGCCATTAGCATTTCAAAAGGAGATGCCAACATCAAGAGACTATTATGCATAGGTGCACTAAGGAGAATTGTGTTTAATCACTGCTCCTCAGGCCTTATGAAATCCCTCACTCCCTCTATGAGCAGCTTGTGCACATGTAACAGCTCACTGTGGGTTACATTAATGTCTGACTGCTTGGAAAATGTCTGCCGCACAGTAACGTGTCAACTGGGGGTGGAGTCAGACAGGGACTTTGTTGTAAAGGGAAGGGGTCTGCAGCATGGTTACTGTTTGCTACCCTACAGCGGTGTTTTAAGACCGCGCCATACCCTATTTAACAGCTTCAAAACCAGTGCCCAAAGATACTAGCAGTTGTGGTCAATCTCCTGAACGAGCTATGTCCTCAGGCTGTATCCACTTGGTACTCTCAGGAACTTATTTTAAATGGCACCATTTCCTCTGGCCCCACGTAACAGGGGATGCCCAGCCCCGGTTGGTGCCCACCATTCTGGATTGCCTAAAAGAGCGATGGGGATATAAACAAGAAGCTCCCCAAAGTGAAACTGACCCTGTGTACTGAGTCACTGATGACATGGAGCCACACCACTCCACATTGTTAGAACAGGGGCTAATAAGTACTTACTTCATGGAGTGTCACAGTTACTAACTATGCCAAGATTACAAACTGCTTTTGAGAGGAGATTTTTAAATCTGTATCAGTGCTACCCATTATTGTCAACTGTGATGTTATCAGGCCCACGCAGTACCAGGAACAGGTTATGTGTCAAAAGGTAATTTCTTCTGAAGAAGGCTGGCAGCATGTGGTACCCTAACAGTTACTGCCCTCCTGGCAATTTGGGGCTCCCAGTCAATCTGCCATCTTATGAGCTGTTTGAGTAAGGGATAAAAGCACCAAGGAACAAAGGCAGCATTGACATTGCAGTAATAGGCCTGACCAGAAATGTGGTATTTCTAGCATCACTTCAGAACTGACTTTAAATATTTGCCAGATATCCATTTCTTGGAAGTTTCTTCTAAGTACTAAGAATGCACTGCAGCACATCCATGGTGTGCTCCAAATATCACAAGATCAAGTCATTGGTGGATGAGCAGTGCTGCGCTTTACATGCCATGAACTCACAGCTGTCATTTGCATGAGGTGTGGGTTCTGTGCCAGAAGAAGCCCAGGGATAAACTGGAGACTCCTAAGCCTATGTTGAGTAAGCTGAGCAATTTGGATTTGTAACTTTGGAAAAATTAACTAGCATTACTGTACTGGTAACGTGAAAATTAATGCTGGGAGTGATCTTTGTTCTTTTCCCAACTCATACACCTTCTGTGTATTGAAGCTACAGAGAGAAACATATTTCTATTAAATATTTGGCCCACATTTAGGAAGTGGATGATATTAGTTGAAGCATTTGTTAATTGCTCAGGACAGCAGAAGCTTAATCCCAACTGAGGCATTTGGAGAGTTCCCAAGAATAAGGGAAATATGTGCTTCCCATGTCAGGATTTTCGTGCTCCTGCTGTAGTGCAGGAGAACAGGTTGTGGAAATAAGGATGGCTGTAACTCACCTGGGATGGCTGCAAAAGGCAACGTGTGACGTCCACTAGGTGGCCCGGGCATTGCTGCTGGGTGTACCTGTAACACCCAGCCTGGGTCAGTGCAAACACCAGGCAGCCTCCTCTGAGTCGTAAGGAAGGGGCTCTGGAGAAGGGCATGAAGAAAAGAAAGAGAAGTATAAAGATGTGGTACAGCTTTTGTGACAAGAGGTTAGTTACCCTGCAATAAACAATAAAACCTGTGAGTGCTGAGCCGTTTCAAAGGAGAACGTCATTTCTGGATGAAACACACACGAGCGCTCATCCTTTCGTCTCCGACTGGCGGCTCTTAACACATAGTCTGCAGAGATCTGTCACAGCACAATAGTTGGCATTTCAGCCTTTTAAAAGCTATTTTTAGTCTTTACTATGATTTAAACTGTGCTTCGGCGCATGCAAGATTGCTTGAAGTACTCGCATGCCTGTTCAGTGGGGTTCTACAGACACAAACTCTTTCCTGGGAAGGAAGGTTTTCTAGCAGATTTGGGCCAGCAGCATAGAAACATCCCCACACAGCCTTTGACAGATGACATTTCTTCTGCTACTAACTGCTCTTTTGGTCCACCATAGTTAACATTTTAAAAACTACAAACACACACCGTGGTTTTGCATTAGCTGTAGTGCCCAGCTAACTGCTCTCACTGGGTTACAGCTGTGTGGCTGTCCTTGTCCATATATCTATTAACTGTAAATAGGAACATATTGACTGCTCTGAGGGTTTACAGGAACTGTTCCCATCATGGTATGACCCATAGCCTTCTTGTAGCCTCCATCAGGGGAGAGCCAGAGGTGCAGGGGCATGGAATAAGCAGCTTGTTGGTCTTCTTCAGATGTAGAACATCTTTCTTGTCTGCTATATTTGTGAGTGCTACAACTGCACCGCCCTTCCCATGTATCTGTTTAAGGCAGGTAAAAGGTACAAGGGTGTGTGGATAAGAACATTCAGCATGTTGTTTGTTTGTCTTTTTCTCTAGAAAATGAAAAAAAGAAAAAAGAAAAAAAAAAAAAAGATGACAAGCCTCTGCATCTGCTGGCAATTGCAAATCAGTACTCAGCTTGCCCAGCATGATTACTGATAGAGTACATTTGCTGAGGTAACATGAGGTTCCCCGATGGTGTTGCTGATGATTCAGGCTTTTAGGCATTTGTCTGCAGAAGGGTCAATAGGAGTGTTTTTACCACCAGCATTCCAGCGCTGCTTCAGTTCATATTTAGGAGCCTAATTCTTTTGGTTTCTAATTTATTGAACAGTGAGAGATGTCTAGTTAGCAGACAGAAGCTTTTTGTTCTGTATTTTCTCTTCTCACTGGCTGGAAGGTTTGTAGCCAAAGAGCTGACATTTAGCTAAGGGACAGCAAACACTTCAGAGTGCAATACTCCATCAGTGCCTCAAGACCGAACTCATCCCACCCTCCACTCCCATGATAACTACTGTTCCATGTTTGAATTAGACTAAGCAAAGCACTGTAGTAGTCCAAAACAAAACAGAGGCTTCATTAGCTCAGAAGAAAATACATCCTTCTCTTGGTTTTCTAATAAGTGCAGTTAAAATTAAATTGAGTTCAGACTTAACAGTACTTCCTTCCCATGCTCTTTGCCTCACATACCGGTTTCCCCTCATGCTTCCTTCCTCTCTCTCTTTTCTCTCTTGCCCCCTCTGGCTGTCACTCATGCTCAGAATGCTTTGCCAGCCAGTGCGTTCTTAAAGTTCAGTCTCAAATACTGCTGCAAAGACCTGGTAGATTCTCCCTTGGCAGGCTTTCTAATTTAGTTATGCAAGAATTGCAGGCGATTGCTGCGTCTTTCAAATGACATTGTGTTCCTGCCTCATACTCTGATACAGAACTAAATGCCTTCGCTTCGCAGTTCTCAGATTTAATGTTGTTTCTTTGGAAGGTGCTCAGCCACGTGAAACTGAAAACAAAAGCGCAATCAAACAAACGAAGCAAACAAATCAAACCATGAAAGGTTCTCTGAGATGTTCCTGTGAATGTGTTTCCACGTGTGAGCACACAGAGCAGCACCCAGGGGATCAGCATAGACGTTTGTAATCAAACCTCACTTCAGTTTAAAACTTGTTCATTCTGTTAAACATGCAAATATTTCCATTCTCTTTGCAGATTCCGCCTCTCTGCTCATTACCAAACCTCTCACAAGCCATAATCTTCCTCTGATCAGGCTCTTAGAGTGTTTTGTGTGGTCTTTAGTTAGACTGTAAACTTGCAGAAGTACGAAACATCTTATGAAAAGAACTTCCACTGTCTCATTTCACATCCAAATTCTTCTCCCATACCAGCTGTGTGTGTTTGCCTAGCAGCAAGTCTTCTGTTAATGAATGACTTGTTCTCATTAGCTTGTCAGGCTGGATATGTAGCCTGCAGTTCCTACTCACACAGAGCCGCACGCCCTCCCTTGTAGCTCCTGGTAAAGCAAATAATGAGATATACAAAGCCTTGTGTCTCTGAGTTTGGCCTTTGCACGCTTAATCATTAACTAACACAGAATGCCAGAATTAAGTGACTAGCTGGTGGCTAAATATATTGAACATAAGCTGAGTCCTACGGGTTG